TCCTGGGCCTGGGCCTCATGATCCATTTCGCAGGCCGAACGCGAGATTGGGTACATTGTCATGTGCCAGATCTTCACGTCGATCGGCGGCGCCATCTTCATCCTCGGCATGCAGATCGCCGTGCTGGCGGCGGTGGACCACAGCACGTGGCGGCGGCGCTGGCCATGCTCTTTGTGAGCGGCGGCATGGGCGGTTCCGTCGGCAGCACCATCTCGGGAGCCATCTGGACGAACACGTTTCTGCCGGCGCTGCGTCGTTACCTGCCCGAGGGCGTGGATGCGCTGGTCGTGTACGGCGACATTGTCGCGCAGCTGTCGTACCCCGTGGGCAGCCCCGAGAGGCTCGCGATCCAGCAGGCGTACGGCTATGCGCAGACGAGGATGCTGGCGGCGGGGACGGGCATCGCGGGTGTGCTGATCGTATGGATCTGCATGCTGAAGGACCTGAACGTGGGCGAGATGAAGCAGACCAAGGGTGTTGTGTTCTAGGTGGTCTGATAGCAGTGCCAGGGGGAGAGTTGGTGGTGATAAGCTTGGGCAGGTGAGGCGGGGTCGATATTCCGTATCCCCAGCCACCACAGCCACGTCAGTGAGGGGTACATGGAAGGAGGTTCGACAGGATGGTAGGTAATGAACTTGGAGGTTTGATGCCACGAATTGAGCATGAGGATTCTAGGTGAATAAAGGATGAGCTATAATACCACTGACGTGTGCCTGTGATAACGGGATAGATCCCTAGGCGAGACGATATAAGCGAGAAAGGTGGCCGCCACTTGATCCGGCTCTCGCGTGGCTTGTGGTCAATGAACCCAGGGTTCAAGGCGCATATGCTACGTATGCAGGACCCAGCGCTTGATTCGTTGTAATATCGACAAGCGAACGATTTGATCATTTTTCGCCATGTGAGGAGACAGCAATGCACAATCAGCATCCTGGGAGCCGTTGCAGAGGATGTATGATGGCCAAGACTGGAAGACGCGATATACCGCTGCGGGAGCACGAGACACAAACGTATCGCGACTTCTTTTTTGACAAGATCCGTTCTAACCGCCAGGCACTAGACTCCCATCTGTCCCTCTCCACCCCGCCCCCTCTGCGCGACCCTCCACGTTGAATGGCCCTGATGCGCCGAGTGTGCCGATGACGCTGCCTGGTAGGCTGCAGGGTAGCGCCGAAGCGCCAACAGGGTTGGGGGTTGGGGGCTGAAAGCTTGACAGCATCAGCGTCACCCATCATTCAGCTCCAAGTGCTCCGTCACCGTCCATCTCTGTTCCTGTCCTTGAACTTTTGACTGTGTTCAGTACCTAGGTGGGGACAGCATAGGGGAGAGTAAGCACAATGTCAGATTGTGGTGCCTCATTCGTGCGAAGCCGAGCCTCACACCACGGCCTCTGTACGTTGCGTGGTCATCCTATGTTTTGGGACGGCCGAGCCGCAGCCGGACCAAAGCTTGCGTCCTTAGAAACATGGCTAGATGGAGATGGGTGATGAGGCTGTATCGAATGAGGCAACACGACAGGCTCGGTTGCCGTGGGTTAGACCCTTTGTTGACAGAGCTAGCGAGTCTCCTCTGGGTCCCCCTACCTGAGCTGAGGTAAAGGTAAAGCTTGGAGGAGGGGGGCTATGATGACGAACTGGGAACCAGCCCCACGTCGGTGCCTGGCTCAGTGCCCAAGAGGCCCCAGGTGCTCCCAGCAACAGCAGCTGGGGTAAGAGCAGTTGCAGCGGGCTCAGCGCTGAACTGGGAGCTTGGGCACTATAATCCACCGTTACGGCCCCAGTACCTAGACAGTACTCCGCACGAGCATCATTCGTCTGGCGGGTAAACATCCGACCCAAGCACAAAGCTGCATGATTGATTGCTCTCGTCTATGCCCACCCAATGTTGCAAGCACAACACAGCAGTGGCACACTCTTTCTTGTACTCCGTCCGTACTGCATACTGCGTACGCCGTACCGCGAACCACTCAGAGCTGCTTACCTACTGTCTTACCTGTTTGCCTGCTTGCTGCATCTCGGCCTCTGCATCTACCTATCTATCTGCCTCTGCTCTGCTCTGCCTCGCCATCGGCTCTGCCCCCTCCCACACACTCTCTGAGAGCCTCTTCTTCTTACTGGACATAACTGCATTGCCACCTACAGTGTTTACGCTTTCATCGAAACCGTCTAGCTGCCCTCCACCGGCCTTGGCCCTGCCTTTGCTCGCAATTTGGAACCTCGACCTGCCTCACACGAAGAACGAAAACCCGCCTCCGAGTCGCACACGACAACGCCGCAGAGTCCCCTTTCCTCCTCTTGGTGCCGTCTCGAGCATGTAATACCTTCTGCCAAGCTCAGCTTGCCCACCACGCCCACGACACCCACCCACAGCCTTGGCCGAACCGCGAACCCCATCTACCGTCATCGGGACGCCCTCATTTCTACGAACCACCCCACGCCCGAGCTCCTCGATATCTCCAACCCCCCCGCGCCCTACGCATGAGAGCACCTCCGACGGCAGCTCTGCCTGCTCAGCAATAACCAAATCCACGCCGCCAGCACCACCGGGCCGTGCCGCTCGTCCTAGCCAGACTGAACGTCTGAACCCACCGACAGATAACGTCTTGAGGCAATCGCCCGCGCGCCCTGGACCCTGGCGATCACGGCACCATGGCCGCCTTCGTGAGGGTCTCTGGCCCGCCGAATAGCAACTTCCTCGTCGGCTACCCGGGCATATCAGCAACATTAGTGCGTCCTCTCTCTATCACTGTCTCTCTCTCTCTCTCTCTC